GATTCTCTTAACGATTCCAAGACTAAACGATCTCTCAAGCTGCGCCCTTGTTCAGTGGCGACCAGGCCACGAACACAAAGTTCAATTTTTAGTTCCATTTATTTGGTATAGCCCTGTGAGCCATTCGGCTCTTGAATCGGGTGCAACCGTAACAAACAAAAAACATGAACAAGAAAACATCTTAAAGTGACTTTGTGTGACTGTGCAAACAGAAAATCCAGGAAAAAAAACATCAAAATATTCCTGAAATAGCACCGTACACCAACGCTGTGTGCAAAAAATCCCAGTGGGATGCAAGTCAAACAACAACAACCACAAAAACTTAGATTCAAGCCATCAGTCTAACTCCGTACTACAACAAAACAAACATGGCCAAACCAAAAAAAACGTTTTCGAAATCACCAAAAAATAAAGCCATAATTGCAACGTAACAGTGATCATAGGGACTGTGACCGAATTTTAACAATAAACTACATAAATAACATGTAACACCAAATCCTAGAGCCATAGCTGGCTGCATGAGTTGCTCCACAACAACAGACGCATCAGTCGGAGTATCAAATGTTTAAATGCACCTTTAAGATCAGCACGCTAAATCAAAATACAGATAATACTTTTCAGCGTCATCCAGAGCGAAACATTTTATTTTAGGCCACTGAATAGCAGTGGCAGAGATACACAGAGATACATAGAGACCCATAGAGATACATAGAGACCCATAGAGATACATAGAGACCCATAGAGATACAGAGACCCATAGAGATACATAGAGACCCATAGAGATACATATAGACCCATAGAGACCCATAGAGATACATAGAGACCCATAGAGATACATAGAGACCCATAGAGATACATAGAGACCCATAGAGATACATAGAGACCCATAGAGATACATAGAGATACATAGAGACCCATAGAGATACAGAACCAGAGATGCGTAGAGACCCATAGAGATACATAGAGACCCATAGAGATACATAGAGATCCATAGAGATACATAGAGACCCACAGGGATACATAGAGACCCATAGAGATACATAGAGACCCATAGAGATACAGACCAACAGAGATACATAGAGACCCATAGAGATACATAGAGACCCATAGAAATACATAGAGACCCACAGAGATACATAGAGACCCATAGAGATAGAGACCCATAGAGAAACATAGAGACCCTTAGAGATACATAGAGACCCATAGAGATAGAGACCCATGGAGATACATAGAGACCCATAGAGATACAGACCCACGGAGATACATAGAGACCCATATGGATACATAGAGATACACAGAGACCCATAGAGATACTTCGACCCAGAGATAGAGATACATAGACACCCATAGAGATACAGAACCAGAGATGCGTAGAGACCCATAGAGATACATAGAGACCCATAGAGATACATAGAGATCCATAGAGATACATAGAGACCCACAGGGATACATAGAGACCCATAGAGATACATAGAGACCCATAGAGATACAGAGCAACAGAGATACATAGAAACCCATAGAGATACATAGAGACTAATAGAGACCCATATAGATGCATAGAAATACATAGAGACCCATAGACTAAACTGAGATGTGAGTGAAGAGCTTTAAAGCTCATCGGATTCCAACTCCAGCCGAACTAAATATTCAGATTCTGAGACGTGACCAAAAGAGCTTCATTGCTCATCGGATTCCAACTCCAGTCGAATATTCAGATTATGAGGATTTCACCGCAGTGGGAATCGCGCGCGAGGAATCGATTCGCGGTTCTAATCGCACGGCGAGATTCAATCGCTCCCTCGATACCGATGCCCCTTGAGGGTCCGCGGGAATTTACCACCGCCCCCACCAGTGGTAGGTCGTCCCTGAGGGTTAGAGTCCGCGGGCATTTGACACCGCCCCCATCAGTGGTGGGTCGTCCCTGAGGGTTAGAGTCCGCGGGCATTTGACACAGCCCCCACCAGTGGTGAGTCGTCCTTGAGGGTTAGAGTCCGCGGGCATTTGACACCGCCCTCACCAGTGGTGGGTCGTCCCTAAGGGTTAGAGTCCGCGGGCATTTGACACAGCCCCCCCCCCCGCACTCTCTCACACTGTCTCACACTCGCAGTTTGTCCCTGCAGGTTGAGGGTCCGCGGGAATTTGACCACCACGACCACCTGCCAGTGGCTGGGATTTTTGCACACAGCGTTGGTGTACGGTTGCTTTTTCCAGGAATATTTTGATTGTTTTTTTCCTGGATTTTCTGTTTGCACAGTCACACATAGTCACTTTAAGATGTTTTCTTGTTCATGTTTTTTTGTTTGTTGCGGTCGCACACGATTCAAGAGCCGAATGGCTCACAGGGCTATACCTATTCTTAGCTCTTTCGGTAAAGTCACGTTGAAGGGAAACAAGAAAATAATAAAATATATATAAAACAATAAAAATTCTCACGTTTCGACCATAACACAAACGGTCGTCATCAGGTGTGTCGGTTTGCATTAATTTATTTATTTTTTAACGGTGCATTTACTTATTAAAAACGTCAGCGCCACGCGCAGCGATTTGGCAGTTTATTTAGGACTAGTCCATCTATGTTCTGAGAAGAGGAGGGGGTAGACGAAAAATTAATGTATGCTGTCTGAAAGCCACCGTAAGCTTGAACAATCAATTAAGACCTGAAATGGTTTATCAAATCGTTCCAATGATTGCTAAGCCAGAATCCATCTTCTCAGGTGAAATTGTCTGTGCTTGTATATGTGGATAGCCTCATGAACGAATCTCTCATGGTAGCCAGATGGCTTACAAAGGGCTATACCTAATAAATGGAACTTAACTGAACTGGTTGTCCCAGCGGAGTCAGGGTCCGCGGGCATTTGACCGCAGCCCCCACCCTCGCCAGTGGCGGAGGTTGTCCCAACGGAGTCAGGGTCCGCGGGCATTTGACGCCGCCACCGAATGGGAATGATGGCCGAGTGCTGGTGATGCACTGAATGTCGAAACTGCTCTCGGCTTCTTCTGCTTGTGTGCTGCTGCCGCTGACAATAAAATAAATAAATGCCACACAGGCGTAGCCGGGGGTTGGCTGACGGGATGTGTAAAATAAAACAAAAAGATGAAAACGGACTTTAAACGTTGCATTTGAGATCATTGTATGGAGATGCAGATCTGGTAAGAGAGGCAAAGTTCCCCGATTAATGACCAATGGTTACATTTCGATTTAAAGCTTTTCGTGACTGCAGGGATTCATATTCTTGGTTCTTTCGGTAAAGTCACCACGTTGAAGGGAAACAATAAAACATTGTTTTATTTTATTTTAATTCTACGTGACTTTACCGAAAGAACCAATAAGATAATTACGAATGTTATTTACCCGCCGGCCGCCCGCCCCCAACTCTAAGGGATCCCTCTGCTCCACGTTTGATATTCAGAAGAATCAGAATCTTTAATAATACTGCAGCAGGAATCCGAAGAGCTATGAAGCTCTTTTTGCACAGATGTCCAGTAATGGGGGCACGGGGTAAGAACGTTACAACAAACAGTGAAAAATAGAAAACACGGTGGTGTAAAGTTATGAGAAAGAAAAACCAATATGACCCAACACGCACACAACTGTTCGTGGTTGATTTCACTCGGACAACTTGTCTTTCTTACAACGCCACTTTATTTACAGTTCTCCACGTGTCCTCAATGCTCCACAGTTGCCTTGTTGCCACAGCTCGCTCGCCGCCTTTGTCTCTCCACTCTCCGCTTCTCCGTCAGCTCCGATGTCTCCGTGCTCTCTCCACTGCTGGCTGCTTCGTCTCCGCTATCACCGTGCTCTCTCCACTGCTAGCTGCTTCGTCTCCGCTATCACCGTGCTCTCTCCACTGCTAGCTGCTTCGTCTCCGATGTCACCGTGCTCTCTCCACTGCTAGCTGCTTCGTCTCTGCTCTCCGCTATCACAGTGCTCTCTCCACTGCTAGCTGCTTCGTCTCCGCTCTCCGCTATCACTGTGCTCTCTCCACTGCTGGCTGCTTCTCTCTTCAGCTGCTCCACGTCTTGCCTCGTCCAGCCCCCGACTCCAACCCCCCCCGTTTCTCCTCACGTCTCCCCAATTTATCCCCGCTCTCATTACTCTCCAATTAATTAACCCGCGTCCCAACAACGCTCCGCGTGCCCGTGCACCTGTGACCTCGCCAGACTTCAAGACGCCACCCCAGCCCTGACAACAATACCAGCCAATCACACTTCAGCCCTGACAACACCAGCCAATCACACTTCAGCCCTGACAACAACACCAGCCAATCACAGCCGTCTCTGGCTCCCCCAGCTTAATTGGCCCAATCGTTACCTCATCGTCCCAACCATCGCACCTGGCTGTCCCAATATGACCCATACTGTCCTGCCCCCGCGAGACCTCACCATTTACCCCCCATGCGCCTATTTATTCCACTACACAAATCAAAGGAAATCATCCCCATCTTACCAAAGCCCACTGAGGTTATCAACTTCTTTTTTTTTTAAATACTGACCTGGCCGCCACGAATGATGGCTCACGCAAAGTGGCCGCAGCATGTGGACATTTATAGCAGCCAAAGCAATCTAAATAATCTCAATACGTGGAGGGGAAAAACCGGAGGACCTGGAAAACAACTCCACGTGACCACGGTGAGAGAGAGAGACACCGCAGACTCCAAATATACAGCAGCAGCAGCAGGCGTCGTCAGGGACAGGATCGAACCCACGACACCTCCTGCATACCAGGCGAGGTTGTTAACATCTCGCAAACTGTGATGATGAGAGAGAGACACCGCAGACTCCAAATATACAGCAGCAGGCGTCGTCAGGGACAGGATCGAACCCACGGCACCTCCTGCACACCAGGCGAGGTTGTTAACATCTCGCAAACTGTGATGATGATGATGAGAGAGACACCTCAAACTCCAAACATACAGCAGCAGCAGGCGTCGTCAGAGACAGGATCGAACCCACGGCACCTCCTGCACACCAGGCGAGGTTGTTAACATCTCACAAACTGTGATGATGATGATGAGAGTGAGAGAGACACCTCAAACTCCAAACATACAGCAGCAGCAGCAGCAGGCGTCGTCAGGGACAGGATCGAACCCACGGCCCCCCGCGTAACCAGGCGACGAGGGAAGATGACGTTCCCGGGTGCCCTCACGCGTCGTGGTGCTTGCGCCGGTGACGCTTGAGGTTGCTGACGTGGGCGAACCTCTGGTCGCACGCCGTGCAGTGGAAGGGCCGCTCGCCCGTGTGCGTGCGCAGGTGGACCGTCAGGTTGGTCTTGAGCAGGAACGTGCGCTCGCACACCGCGCACGACAGGGGGGGCCTCTTGCCGCGGTTCGAAGGTGCCCATCGCGAAGGTCCCGGCGCCGTGGGCGCCGGCGCCGAAGGTCCCAGTCCTGAAGGTCCCAGTTCTGAATATCCCAGTGCTGGAGGTTCCAGTCCTGAAGGTTCCAGTCCTGAAGGCCTCGATTGTGAAGGTCTCAGTCCTGAAGGGCCCAGTTCTGAATATCCCAGTTCTGAATATCCCAGTCCTGAAGGTCTCAGTCCCGAAGGTCCAATTCCTAAAGGTCCCAATCTTGAAGGTGCCATTCCTGAAGGTCCCAGTTCTGAATATCCCAGTCCTGAAGTTCTCAGTCCCAAAGGTCCCAGTCTTGAAGGTCCCATTCCTAAAGTTCCCAGTCCTGAATGTCTCAGTCCAGAGGGTCCCATTCCTGAAGGTCCCAGATCTGCAGATCCCATTCCCAAAGGTCCCAGTTTCAGAGGCCCCAGTCCTGAAGGGCCAAAGCCGAGAGGGAGCGGGAAGGCCGACGTTGTCGACGATCCTGCGGCCTCCTCCTCCTCCTCGGCCTCCTCCTCGGCCTCCTCCTGCTGCTGCTGCTCACCGGCGCCACCGTTCCGCGGGCCCCAGGCGGTGACCCTCGACCGCTGGGCCGCCGCGTGCGCTCGGGAGGCCACGGCACGGCAGGCCGGCTCTGAAGGCCCTGCGGCGATTCTATCATCTGACGACGGGGAGTGTGTGGGGGTGTGTGGGTGTGTGGGTGTGTGTGGGGGGCGGGAGAAAATTTAGACTTTTTTTTCGTTGTTGCAGACGCCACCGAACATCATCCCAAAATCGTTCTAGCCAAATCGGTGGGGGGGCCCGAGGGCCGACGAAATTGAGGGCCCTTGTGTGGACGTTCGACGGCCGGTTACCAAAATACGCCGTGATGGCAAATGTGGAGCGTATCCGCGAGCGGCGTGGAAAGCACCGAGGGGAGCAGGAAACCGTCGCCATCCACGCGAGCTCCGGCGGAATTCGGCTCGGCCATCGAATGGAGGCGGTGGTCACCGGCGCCGCCGCGCGGCCCTTCCGGACGCGCCCGCGGCCGTCTGGAACGCTCTCTTCCGTTCCGACGCTAGGAAGCGCACCGGAGCTGTGCGACTCATCATCTAGATTGACAAACGGCGTTTTGCGTTCAGTTTGTTCAGTTTGGCGCCCTTCCCCCACACCTCTCCATTGGCACGGTTGTCGACATAGGGCGGCGGAGATGCTAACTGACATCTGACTCTGCTCCTCATCGTCATCCCTCTGAGGTTGATACAATTAGCGCCGCTTTGCGGGAGGTGAATGAGCGACGGGAAATTTTTCATCAGCGGCCCATGGAAACCCGACGGGGATTTCAACGGCGGGGCGAGTTCACGGTCAGCGGTGCGGTTCTGATCTTTTGCCACTGCCGCGATGTCCACAAACCGCCCGGCGCGGAAACCACGTCACGTTTGACGTCGGCCGCTTTGAGGCTCTGGGAAGCGAACGGTGGAACGGGCGGCACTTCGAGGTCCGCTGTCGGCACGAGCGGGCCGACAGCGGACAGCGCGCGCCTCACCTTCCCGGCCTTCCGCTTTGATCGGAGAGCGCAACGGCCCGCTCCGACCGCGGCCGTTGGCCGCCGCGGCTTCCCCGTGCTTGTCTGGGGCGAAACACACATGTACACGCGCGTGTACACGCGTGTACACACGCGTGGGCGGTTGTATGGCGACGAAGCGCGCGTCGTGACGAAGCGTGAGTCGTGACGAAGCGTGAGTCGTGACGAAGCGTGAGTCGTGATGAAGCGTGCGTCGTGGTGAAGCGTGAGTCGTGACGAAGCGTGAGTCGTGACGAAGCGTGAGTCGTGACGAAGCGTGAGTCGTGACGAAGCGTGAGTCGTGACGAAGCGTGAGTCGTGGTGAAGCGGGCGTCGTGGTGAAGCGTGAGTTGTGATGAAGCGTGAGTCGTGACGAAGCGTGAGTCGTGACGAAGCGTGAGTCGTGACGAAGCGTGAGTCGTGGTGAAGCGTGAGTCGTGACGAAGCGTGAGTCGTGACGAAGCGTGAGTCGTGGTGAAGCGTGAGTCGTGGTGAAGCGTGAGTCGTGACGAAGCGTGAGTCGTGGTGAAGCGTGAGTCGTGACGAGTCATGAAGGCGTTCGCTTTGGCTGATGGTGCAGATCATGGTGGGGTGAGGGGGGGGGTGAGGGCTGGACGTGTGTGTAAATTGTTGTAGTTTCCGAAAAAGCAAGCTTTACCATCGCCACCACCACCATGAGGAGGATGAGGAGGAGGAGATTCCACTTTAATCCGGCTTGGGAAGAAGTAGCTGGGGCTGGAGGCCATATCCGAGGTCTTCTCATCTGAGAAAAACAAGTCAACCCTGTAGCATCAGCCATCGCCTTGGGTTGCAGGTCGTTCGGTCGACGCACAAGGCTGATCCCCGGGGGGTGGGGGCGGGAGGTGTGAGGAGGGCGACAAGGGTCCCCCCCTTTCGTACGGATTAATAACGGCAGGTTAAAGATGCCACCTTTTCATTTGCCGTCCGTTCAACCGTTCGTTCGCAAGGGGGAGCGGCCGCCGTCCGTTCCTCCCTTTAAAGGAGGTGCCAGCGGCGGAGTGTTTGCGACGCGGTCGTTCCGTGGCCGCGCACTCGCGTTTGACTGCGCCGTTCTGCGTGTCGCGCGTTCCGCGCGGTAACGACGGCGCCCTCCGCGCTGTGCGAAAATTGTTCCCGTAGGGCCGGAACCCGCGCGACTCACCGCACGGGCGCTCGTTGCCGTCCTCCGCAACTCCATCCGCTTCCACCGCCGCCGTAAAGTTTTCCGTGCCGGGCGCACCCACGGACGAGGGAGAAGCCGCCGTATATTTCCGACCGTCGGCGTCTCCCAGCCTCCGCGCGGACAGCAGCAGCTCCCGGCTCAGGCCGCCGAACAGCGCGAGCAGCACCTCCACCAGGCCTGCCAGCGTCACGTCGCCACAGGGGGAGGTCGCGGCGGCGTCGTCTTCGTCCCAGCGCGGCGTCCCGGCGTCGTCTCGGCGCTCGGCGCCCCGCAGGGCCTTCACCACCTGCCGCAGCACGGCGTAGAAGCCGAAGGGCAGGCGGTCGCGCGCCGCGGCCAGCAGCTCGGCCCGCACGAGGCCGTCCCCGACGCAGGCGCGCAGGACCCCGTAGTCCCGGATGCCCAGCTCCGAGTCCATGGCCCGGGCCACCTCGGCGTTCACGCCCTGCGCCTCCAGCCACGCCGGGAAGTCCCCGATCGGCTCCGGCGGCGGGACGGCCACCGCGCACGCCATATCCTGGCGTAGAGGCGGACCGCCGAATTGAGGGGTGGGTGGGGGGGGGAGAAGGATGAAACCGCACGTGTATTTCACCGCTATCGCCTCGTCCAGGGCGTCCTATCCTCCGTTCCGGGCAACGCCGCCCGACGACAAGGGACCGTGAGGGTCCGTGACCAGCCGGTCGGTTTGTCGGACGCGGCTCTTGCCGACACGAACGAACGTTCCGCTCCCTCCTGGGCGTCCCTTAAGCCAAACCTGCGCCCACACGCGTGAGCCAAAAAAAAACCAAAAAGGTGGTAACAAAAATAACCAAGGTGAGAAGGCAGCTAGCTGTGGGGAGGAAACCCCCCACGTGACGACAAGTCTCAGGGAAACGCCTTCAAGGCGGGGAATTATTGAACAAAAACGCTTTGGGAGCAATCTGCTGTAAAAAAAAATAATTAAAATCAGCGAGCAGAGAATCATTAAAAATTCTCTCACAGGGGGGAGGGGGGCTTGAGGTTCTTTCCTCTCCCGAGAAATCCTACAGCAATGCGGCACTCACGAGGCCCTGGCCTCACACGCACCAGCACAGGCGTGAGTGAGCACTTGCAGGGGCTGCGCCTTCACCCCTTTAACTCGCATCGCAGGGCAGCACCACTCACGTCACTCACCTGGCGAAGGGTGGTGGGGGGGGTGGTGGTGGTTGAGGGGGGGTGGTGGTGGTGGGGCGGTGGGGGGGTGGGGTGGTGGTGGTGGGAGGGTGGTGGGAGGGTGGTGGGGGGGGCTCCCCCTGTGGTGTGGGGGAGGGGCTTGTGCTGCAGATGCGCAGTGGAGAGAGCCTGGCCACCTCGTTCTGCTCCTCCTCGCCTTTTCTCCTGCTCAGTCTCCCTCACGTCTCCTCACCTTCTCCCCACTCCCTCACCTCCTCACCTCTCCTCACCTCGCCTCTCCCTCACCTCCTTCTCAGCTCGCCTCTCCCTCACCTCTTCTCACCTCTCCTCACCTCCTCACCTCTCCTCACCTCCTTCTCAGCTCGCCTCTCCTCACCTCACCTCCTCTCCTCACCTCACCTCTCCTCACCTCGCCTCTCCCTCAACTCTCCTCCACTCCCTCACCTCCTCACCTCTCCTCTCCCTCAACTCTCCTCCACTCCCTCACCTCCTCACCTCTGCCGATTCCACACGGGAGGGACCGCGCGCATTTGACTCGCGCGGGTGAGCGGGGGAGGCGGCGAGGGCTGAAGGGTCCGCGGCGATGTTCCCCGATAAGTGGCCACTCGCACGCCGCTCCATGATTGACAGCACGGACAAGCGGCGATGTCTCCTCCTCGTCACCATCAGAGATAATGATCGATGATGATGATCATCATCACTGATCATCATCATCACTGATCATCATCACTGATCATCATCATCAGAGATAATGATGATGATCATTGATTATCATCATTACTGATGATCATCATCATTGATCATCATTACTGATGATCATCATCATCATCATGTCTGATCATCATCACTGATCATCACTGATCATCATGATGGTGATCATCATCATCTCTGATGATCATCACTGATCATAATCATCACTGATCATCATCACAGATGATCATCATCATCTCTGATCTTCATCATCACTGATCATCATCATCACTGATCATCATCATCATCTCTGCTGATCATCATCATCAGCTCACTCCACGCACAAAATAAAAGTCGCTCTTACGCGTCCCATCAGCACTGATTCTAATGCAAGCAAAACCCTCGGCTCGGCTTCGACATTCAGTCTCTCATCAGCAGTGCGGCTTGGCTCGAATCAATGTTTGGTGAGCTGCCGGACGTACCAGGCAAGGACTGGCTTCGACATTTAGAGTCTCATCAGTAGAGTCAAGCTTGCTTGAATCAATGATGGTGAACTACAGATCTTACAGGCAAGGACTGGCTTCGACATTCAGTCTCTCATCAGCAGTGAGGCTTGGCTAGAATCATTGTGAGCTGTAGGTCTTACAGGCACGGATTGGTTTCGACATTCAGTCTCTCATCAGCAGTGAGGCTTGGCTAGAACCATTGTGAGCTGTAGGTCTTACAGGCAAGGATTGGCTTCGACATTCAGTTTCTCATCAGCAGTTAGGCTTGGCTAGAATCATTGTGAGCTGTAGGTCTTACAGGCAAGGATTGGTTTGGACATTCAGTCTCTCATCAGCAGTGAGGCTTGGCTAGAATCATTGTGAGCTGTAGGTCTTACAGGCAAGGATTGGTTTCGACATTCAGTTTCTCATCAACGGTCAGGCTTGGCTAGCATCATTGTTTGGTGAACTGACGACCTTACAGGCAAAGAATGTCTTCGATATTTAGAGTGTCATCAGCAATCGACATCACGTGTTTAGAGAGTATATTCTGTGTCTCTGTGTGTCTCTATGTGTCTCTGTGTGTCTCTGTGTGTCTCTATTTGTCTCTATGTGTCTCTGTATGTCTCTGTGTGTCTCTGTGTGTCTCTATGTATCTGTGTGTCTCTGTGTGTCTCTATCTCTCTCTGTGTGTCTCTGTGTGCCTCTGTGTGTCTCTGTGTGTCTCTGTGTGTCTCTATTTGTCTCTATGTGTCTCTGTATGTCTCTGTGTGTCTCTGTGTGTCTCTGTATGTATATGTGTGTCTCTGTGTGTCTCTATTTGTCTCTGTGTGTCTATGTGTGCCTCTGTGTGTCTCTGTGTGTCTCTGTGTGTCTCGATTTGTCTCTGTGTGTCTCTGTGTGTCTCTGTATGTATCTGTGTGTCTCTGTGTGTCTCTATTTCTCTCTGTGTGTCTCTGTGTGCCTCTGTGTGTCTCTGTGTGTCTGTATGTGTCTCTGTGTGTCTCTGTGTGTCTCTATTTGTCTCTGTGTGTCTCTGTGTGTCGCTGTGTGTCTCTGTGTGTCTCTGTGTGTCTATATGTGTCTCTGTGTGTCTCTATATGTCTCTGTGTGTTTCTGTGTCTCTGTATGTCTCTATGTGTCTCTGTGTGTCTCTGTGTGTCTATATGTGTCTCTGTGTGTCTCTGTGTGTCTCTGTATGTATCTGTGTGTCTCTGTGTGTCTCTGTGTGTCTCTGTATGTATCTATGTGTCTCTGTGTGTCTCTGTGTGTCTATATGTGTCTCTGTGTGTCGCTGTGTGTCTCTGTCTCTGTGTGTCTCTGTGTGTCTCTGTATGTCTCTATGTGTCTCTGTGTGTCTCTGTATGTCTCTGTGTCTATGTATGTATGTGTGTCTCTGTGTGTCTATATGTGTCTCTGTGTGTCTCTATATGTCTATATTTGTCTCTGTGTGTCTCTGTGTGTCTCTGTATGTATCTGTGTGCCTCTGTGTGTCTCTGTGTGTCTCTGTGTGTCTCTATTTGTCTCTATGTGTCGCTGTATGTCTCTGTGTGTCTCTGTGTGTCTCTGTATGTATATGTGTGTCTCTGTGTGTCTCTATTTGTCTCTGTGTGTCTATGTGTGCCTCTGTGTGTCTCTGTGTGTCTCTGTGTGTCTCGATTTGTCTCTGTGTGTCTCTGTGTGTCTCTGTATGTATCTGTGTGTCTCTGTGTGTCTCTATTTCTCTCTGTGTGTCTCTGTGTGCCTCTGTGTGTCTCTGTGTGTCTATATGTGTCTCTGTGTGTCTCTGTGTGTCTCTATTTGTCTCTGTGTGTCTCTGTGTGTCGCTGTGTGTCTCTGTGTGTCTATATGTGTCTCTGTGTGTCTCTATATGTCTCTGTGTGTTTCTGTGTCTCTGTATGTCTCTATGTGTCTCTGTGTGTCTCTGTGTGTCTATATGTGTCTCTGTGTGTCTCTGTATGTATCTGTGTGTCTCTGTGTGTCTCTGTGTGTCTCTGTATGTATCTATGTGTCTCTGTATGTCTCTATGTGTCTCTGTGTGGCTCTGTCTGTCTCTATGTGTCTCTGTGTGTCTCTATTTGTCTGTGTGTCTCTGTGTGTCTCTTTGTCTCTGTGTGTTTCTGTGTGTCTCTGTATGTCTCTATGTGTCTCTGTGTGTCTATATGTGTCTCTGTGTGTCTCTGTATGTCTCTATGTGTCTCTGTGTGTCTCTGTGTGTCTATATGTGTCTCTGTGTGTCGCTGTGTGTCTCTGTGTGTCTCTGTGTGTCTCTATGTGTCTCTGTGTGTCTCTGTATGTCTCTGTGTCTATGTATGTATGTGTGTCTCTGTGTGTCTATATGTGTCTCTGTGTGTCTCTATATATCTATATTTGTCTCTATGTGTCTCTATGTGTCTCTGTGTGTCTCTGTGTGTCTCTGTGTGTCTCTATTTGTCTCTATGTGTCTCTATGTGTCTCAATGTGTCTCTGTATGTCTCTATGTGTCTATGTGTGTCTCTGTGTGTCTCTGTGTGTCTCTATGCATAGACATAGACGATGATGAACCACTTTGTTGAGCTATCATTTGTGATGGCTGGGTCGCTTCTAGAACAAAGCTACATAGCCTGGTGGGCCTAACCTGGTAAAATAAAAATTAGTTTTTTTTAGTTGCTATTGATGCCCCCAGGGTCTGGAATGCTATTGCCAATAAACTGCAACTTGAATCGCTACCAATGAGATCTTCACTCAAAACTGCCCTAGAGGAGTTGTACACCCCTAGCTGCCACTGCTATTCAGTGGCCTAAAATACGGCTCTAGGATTTGGTGTTATAATTTATTGATGTAGTTTATTGTAAAAAATTCGGTCACAGTCCCTATGATCACTGTTACATTGCGTTTATGGATTTTATTTTGGTGATTTCGAAAACGTTTTTTTTGGTTTGGCCATGTTTTTGTTTATTGTAGTACGGAGTTAGATTGATGGCCTAAATCTTAGTGGTCTTGTGGTTGTTGTTGTGATTTGGCTTGCATCCCACTGGGATTTTTTGCACACAGCGTTGGTGTACGGTGCTATTTCAGGAATACTTAGATTTTTTTCCTGGATTTTCTGTTTGCACAGTTACACATAGTCACTTTAAGATGTTTTTCTTGTTCGTGTTTGTTTTTTGTTTGTTGCGGTTGCACCCGATTCAAGAGCCGAATGGCTCACAGGGCTGTACCAAAGTAAATGGAACTATGGGTCTCTGTGGATCTCTGTGCGTTCAGAGTATTTGGCTGCTATACATTTCCACGTGACGATGATAACCCCACTTCGTTGAGCTATCATTTGTGATGATAGCTCAACGCTTCTGAGAAAGAGTTAAATAGCTCAGTTGGGCCTTAATTTATTAAATTAAATAAAAAAACGTTTCGTTAGCACTGTCAGCGCTTGTAGAAGAAAGGTCGTCGTATCGGAGGCGTACCAGAGCAGGCACCGTTCAGATCCTGGCTTTGAACGTTGAACGACCTCGCCTGGCATGCAGAGGAAGGTGGCCGTGGGTTTCAATATTGTTAACAAAGCTCGCAAATTTCGATTTAAAGCTTTCGTGACTGCAGGGATTCATCTGCTGGCTTCTTTCGGTAAAGTCACCACGTAGAATGGAGATAAAGTAATAAAAATAATAATTACAGAATAAAATTTTCACGACGTTTCGGCCACAACACAAGCAGCCTTCCTCGGGTGAAGAAACAGGACTGTCCGGAAGACAGCGCTTGAGTGAACCCTGCCAAGCTTGGCAGCGTCTTTTAAGCTGTGTGGTAGGAGCAGAGCGCCTTGACAAAGTTCCTAGCTGGGCCACCAGGAGGCGCTGTGGTGGCGATTTCAACGCAGTGGGGGCTCCA